AGATGTTAAAAAGTTGCATATGGTCAATTATAGTAGACACTCAGAGAAGTCAGGTTGAACTGTCTAGCTCTTGAAGAAACAGTGACTCAACTCAGCCATGGATGACTAAAGCCTTTGAAAGTTTTTCAGAATAGTGTCAATAATTATAACAGATTATAAGTGTCTAATTACTACATAAATCTTATAAACTAAATTCAAAAATGTAAAGCCTGTAAGTAGCTAATTATAGGCACCAACACCAATGTCAGAATTTTTGAGATTTTTATAGAGATTGTGTTTCACGTTAGAATGTTGACCAGGCTGGTCTCAACCCTGATGTCATCTGATTCACTACCAGCCTCCCAAAGTGCTGGGACAGGGGGAGAGCCACCTGCATTGCTTGCAATATCATTTGAAATAGTACAATGCCATTTCCAGCCAAACAATCAGATATTAATGTACATGAACTTTATCCTCATGAAAAAGTGGTAAATTTACAACTCGTGTTGCATATTAATTCAGCAACTATTGTGTTCATCGAGCTAATAATAGAATTTATTTGTATTTGGTTCCAAGATACCCTGAGAATAAGATCTTTTAAACTGAAATGACCAAGTAAAAATAAATTGTATTGTGTTATGTGGATGGCAGCTTGAAGAATAGAATAAGATAGAAGATAATGACAGTTTTTGATGGTTTCAATATTGTTAGCTGCAGTCCCTCATCACCACAATTCAAAGTCACTAATCAGAGTTGTTTTACACACAAAGCTCCATCACCAGCTGACTATATATAAAAGTAGATTATCTATAACTGGTGACTCATTCACAAGCCTTCAGCCGACATTAAGTTAAGGTTTACACCAGACAAAGCGCTTAACCCTTCCATTTAGGACAAAAGTGCAGCTCACTGCCAAAGAATTACTTGACTTGCATTATACATTCTCGAGGCTGAAGAAACTGACTGATTTTCAATGCGGAAAATGAAATATAAAAACTGTGTTCTTAATGATATTTAAATGAGTCAACACTTGTGGGAATCATCTGAACTACCAGAATCACCATTATGAAAATCAGGTTAATCAAATGAATTTCTTCACAACAATCATATTGGAACAGTTCTTAACCAGCTTATAAAGTAATCGTAATCCGGCTGGTACAGCAATCTTCGCAGCACTTGTGAGATACGTTTGTGATGCACATGACGCCCACTGCTGAAGGTAATGTGTGGTTTACCGAATGAGGTAATAACATTTGGTCACCGTGACTAAAATCGCTTAAAGGTGTTCTTTAAATGATAAACAATAGCATGAGGATCTGTGAACGTGGATGATATATTCATGCTGGCAGATAATGGCCCAATCATCCCTTTATCATTTCCATCCGCTATTTCATGGCAAATACTTATAATTTGTAATCTATGAACAGTGTTATCACTATTGACGGCCAATAAATATGTGGTAAATCTCACCAGCTCTCAGCTCTGTGGCTGCAGGATCTCACTTTCCCACCCACAAACATATTTCTGTGTGTGTGTCTTTAATTCCTCCAGCTTCATTTTGGATTATATCTCCTGACCAAGCCGTGTCCTGGCAAACAATCCCTAATAATAATGTTAACACCATCCATAGGACTGCCACATTTTCTGTGACTTGATATCACTTCTCAGGATTGAACAGACTGCATTTCAAATGTGAAATAACACTACTAAAAAGAATGGGATAATACGATGCTCCTTTAATTTCAGTTAGACATATCGAGGACAACAATAATGCACAGTTATCGGCAAAAGCGACTTGGGTAAATAAAGCAAGAATAGCAGGCACTACTGTGGTATTCTCTAACAATTGATATCCATAGTATGGTATCACTCCTAACCCCAATGACTTGATTCAAGGATAACACTGACACAGAGTCAAGACTTATGCCTGGATACATCATAGCAAGACCTCGCATGGTGCAATTTGCTCTAGCACTTGCCCATGCCTGTAATCTCAGCACTTTGGGAGGCCGAGGGCAGCAGATCACTGAGGCTGGCAGAGATTTAGTAATCATTCTGGGCTGCAACACATGAAACCTGCCCTTCAATGGAAAGAGAAGAAACAAAATCTAGGCTGGGTGAAAGGGCCTCGTAGTCCAGCCACCAGGAGGCTGAGGCAGAGAATGGTGTGAACTCAGGAGGTGGAGGTTGCAGAGCAGAGCTTTCAAGATCAGTCACCACCCAGCCTCAAGTGAGCAAGACTCCACCAAAAAAATTAAATGAGCTGTTCTTTTGCAGGCACTGTAGAATCTAGAGCTTATTAGAGGCTGAGGTGGGAGACTGCTCAGACCAGTCAAGGCTGCAGGTGTACTTAATCACATCTTATAGTGGTGGCTTGGAGTTGAAGATCTCCTTCACTTCCTACACACTGCAGACTACATGCCAGAGTTGGTGGCTGGGCAATCATAATTCTGTAGACACCTGCAGTCACCTTGTAGATCTACATGGGCAAGTCTGTAAGACAGTTTCGCCAATGAGTCGCCAGCAGTGAGCCAGACCACACCACTGCACCCAGCCTGGGGCAACAGATCAAGATCTTTCACTTCCTTCTGAGGGAAGCAGAGTTGTTGAATTCAGCTTTTACCAAAGTCTGGTTTAGATCAAAGATGGCATATCACCAAACAGAGACTTTGTGCAGAATATGATGTTAACAACCTCTGCTTCTTCGTAATAAAGTGAGAATAAAGGCAGAAAATCATGGCATTGGCCCAGACACTAAGCCATTGGCTTAACAGGCCATTGGCAGAAGATTGATACAAAGTGGTGGCTGAACTGACGCAGTGGCTCACACCTGTGATCTGGCATCAGGGAAACCTAGCGGGCAGATCATCAGAACTCAGAGTCGAGACTGCCCAGGAACATGGCAAACCCTGTCTCTACGCCGGAAAAGAAACTTAGCAGGGTGTGTGCACCTGCAGTCCTAAGCTACTGGCACTGAGGTGGAGAATCACTTGAACCTGGGAGGTGGAGGTTGCAGTAGACTGGAGATCACACCACCGCACTCCAGCCTTGCAAAGTGATCGGAATAAAGAAGAAGGAATACACAAGGAAGTAAGGCAATAAATAAGTAGGAAGGAAGGAAGGAAGGAAGGAAGGAAGGAAGGAAGGAAGGAAGGGGGGGAGGGAGGGAAGGGAGAGAGAGAGGAGGGAAGAAAGGAGAGAGAGAGAAGGAAGGAAGGAAGAGAGAGAGAGAGATGGCTGCTACTGAGGACTCAGATGGAAATGAGAAATGTGTTATTGGAAACTGGCGGAAGGGTGATACTTGTTATATAGTGATAGAAAGCTTGGCAGAATTGTGTCCTGCAGTTATGTGGAAAGCAGAATTTGTAAACAATGAAACTGGGCATATAGCTGAGGAGATTTGAAAGCAGTGTTGAAGGCACATTTTGGTTTCTCGCTGCTTATAGTAAGATGTAAAAGGAAAGATAAAAATTAGGGAAAGAACAGTGAAACCAAAAGTTGCCAGGACTTGATGACTTAAAATGTTCTCAGCAGAAATTAAGGATTCATTGCCAGAAAAGTGCATTGTAGAGAAAAAGCCAAAAGTGTGACTGGTAACACTTTTGCTATTACCTCAGAAAGATAAAAATCAGTATTCAGTCGCACAAAAGACTCTTTAAAGAGATGAAACAGGTGACCCATGGATCCCCTCGGCCTTCTTGGACCCCCAAGATAGAGACAAGATTATCGAGGAAAAATCTGTAAACAAGCTTCTTTTCTTCTGTGGTGAATTTCTCTAATACACACAGGAAAACTACAAGATTCTGGAGAATTTTTTACCAGTGGAAATACTGCCACCTTGAAATTTAAAGGATAAAGTACAAGACAAAAAAAAGCTATTGGACCTCCAAAATTCCACAGACAAGAAACAGGCTGATAAAACTACTCAGATGTAAACAGATCACACTGCAAAACAGACAGAAATCCTAGGCCTACCAGAAACCCAATCAACAAAAACCTCTGCAGGTGAGGAAACAGGATTCTGCATTTTAATAGGCACACCAAATGAAATTGGAGAAAACTACATTTAGGAGGAAGGCAAGAATTATAGTTCACTTCACATATTGGAAAGATGGTCATGAGGAAAATGTGGTAGACTATTCTATGTAGCTCCTGTAAACTGAACTAATGTCAGTGCGTGGAATGAATAGGGAGCCAGGTTTAAACGAAATCTGAGGAATAACTTTCTAACTCTCACAACGACTGGAAGTGGAATGGGCTTTCTGGTAAGACAATGCACTCTTTGTTAGGCAGGAATCTAGACCCAACATGGCGGCGTTACCCGGCATAGCAGGCCTTTTGTTAAAGACTCCCTTCACCCTTGTACACACCCGCAGACTTACATGCGTCAGAGTTGCGGCTGGGCAACCACACTCCCGCATGACCTGCAGCTCACCTGCATTCCACAAGTTTGTAAACAGCAGTTTCGGTTAACAGTTTCCAAAGACCCCTTCCTCGTGACCCTTACTCAACTCCTGCCCTAGTAGTTTCAAGACTCCCCAGGCCCTGTTTGCACAACCAGCTTCCCTACCTCTCAGGCTGTAAGAAGACCCTACCCTCCTCCCTCAGCGCGACCTCCTCGGCCCATGCCTTTGGACCGAGGAACCTTGCCCGCAAGCCCTAATAAAAGCTATTCTCACTGCCATTTGCCTTGTGTCTTCGTTCCCGGTTCGGCTCCAGCCTCAGTTTACCTTTACACTCTTCATAATGGATATTTTTAAATACAGGCTAAATTATGTTCATCAGGGATGTCATAGGATGGGATTGGATGGGAGACGAGTTAGACTGGAATGATAGTGATTAAGACACATCAAAGACTATTATTCGAAGCTACGACTTCAGAGCATTTATATAAAAAGATTTGGGGTGTAAATGATGAGTTAGAGAGTAAAAATGTTACTGACTATCTGCAATAGAGTTGATCCACCCTCCATAGAACATGACCAATTTTTCCCTCCAAAGGTGGTGATTGCTTTACTTACTTTGCCCCCATGTGTTCTCCATTGGTGAGGGGAGAGAAGTAACATACAGACAGAGATCAGAGACAACTGATTTTCAAGATGGTCAGGGTGAACTGGCAAATCTGAAGCAGGAAAATTAGCTGATGCAGATTATCACTTAAACATATACACACATGCCCTGACTTTCACCAGCTCAGTTAAGCAAAGAACCACTAAGTAGCTTCACAGCTTATGGTGCATTTGCTCTGCCCTGACTTTCAGATTGATTGTGTATAAATCTTTCAGGTCTGGAGTACCAGTGCCCTGCAGGAACCACTAGTATCTATAGTTACAGGAGTATTTACCAAAGTTTTCTTGACTTTGACCAGCTTTATACACCGTATCCCATTTGTAATATCAAAGAAGTCTGGAACAAACTGGTAGAGGTAAAAGGACATTTACTATTACCATCTAAAAACTGTGGGAGATTACTCAAAACATTAAAATTTCATAAGAGAGATTTGAGACTACTTGGTTAGTATGGTCTAAAGAGAACCATGAAGCTTTGTCTTTCTTTTGCGATTTTGTGTTGCTACAATTGCTCTGATTTGCCCTTGCCTTTGGAAGGGAAAAGGGTGATGGGGTGGCAAAATCAAGGTCTCAGAACAGGTGATGAGTCTTTATGAAATGGGTACAGAGGCACTTACAGCTAACAGCAAAAGAGCTGTATTTGCAAACTTGAAAGGTGTTATGGTATGGTACAAAAGAATTCACCAATACAATTAATAGTAATAAAAATTCAAGTATATGCTTAGATTTAAGTAAATGCCTTCTTACATACTGAGTTGCATTAGCTGGATAAACAATATAGCTGTTTAATTAAATAATGGATTCTGAGACCAAAGTAAACATTAGAAGAGAAAACCTTTTACATAAAGATGTTTAATTTTGGGGGTCACTTGACATGACATTTGCAGATAATTAGTAGGCCTGCTTATTTGAGTAAATGGCAACCAGTATCTCTGCCTGAGCTGGAAACACATTTAGCAATGGAAAGTGGTTTTTTGTGTTTTTTTTTGAGACGGAGTCTCACTCTTTCGCCCAGGCTTGAGTGCAGTGGCGCGATCTCGGCTCACTGCAACCTCCACCTCCTGGGTTCAAGTGATTCTCCTGCCTCAGCCTCCCAGGTAGGTGGGATTACAGGTGTGTGCCACCACACCCCACTAATTTTTTGTATTTTTAGTAGAGATGGGGTTTCACCATGTTAGCCAGGAAGGTCTCAATCTTCTGACCTCGTGATCCGCCCACCTCAGCCTCCCAAAGTGCTGGGATTACTGGTGTGAGCCACTGCACCCAGCCAGAAATGGAAAGTTTTAAACCTCGAGTATAAAAGTTGACTTAACAAAAGCCTAAAATCAATTTTACACATTAAATGCAAATGGTAACCACAGAATACATTTCATTCTTCAAAAAGTTTTAGCAATTTAAAGTTAAACCAAATAGTTAATAAGCAATAAAAGAAAAGTACTTAAAATTTTAGAAAGGAAATTGAAGAACAAATAAGGAAAATCTGAGTTTCAAAATCGTTAATTAACAGGATAATTAATATCAACTAACCAAGTTGACTATCTTAAGTGCTAGCAATTTTTTCTTTAAATTTCATGATATTCAAAATATCTCTTACTAAAGTGCTATCTCCAGGCCCAGCCAGATAATTTAACCCAAATTCTTCAAGACACAGTTTTTATAGTGCTCATTATACAATACAATATTTTACTAATATAGTTGCTCCATAAATGCTTTTTGAATGAAAGGGGCGTTTTATGAAAGAAAGACAAGAGGAACAAATACCTACAGAACAAATAAACACTCTATTGTCAAGCCATAAACTGAGAAAAACAAATGCTAATAACAAGAAAGCTTAGACATTAAAATACTTCAGGCTAGCCTTATGTTTTTCTAAGAAGTTCTAAGAAGGTATTCTTGGGGTACAAAAGTAAAAATGAAACTGTATCTATAATTTATATTAAAAAATAAATATGAGATGTTTAGAGAACAATTACATGAACACTTACCTACACACACAAAAATGGCTTTGTCATTCCTTCTAGGAATTTAAGGTTTCATAAAATATTCTTAAGGTAAAGCCTTGACCATTTTACGGACTTGCTCAACAGCATCTGTGTGTCTGCACCGCCTACAGGATAAAGTTTAAACTCAGTCTGGCACTGAAATTCTTTCTCAGTATATTGTCAGCTTAATTTACCAGTGTTTTCTTCCACTTCAGGAAAGAACTCACATTTACTTAAAAGCATCTTTGCATTTATTTTCACTTTCTGATTTTGTTCAAGCTATGTCATCCTGAATGTTATTCCTTCATTCCACAACATCCCTCCCTCAACCATCACCCACCACCATTATCTGCTGGCTGAGATCCTAGCCAATATGTCAAGATCCAACAAAATATTCCTTGTAATCTCCCAAATTGGGACTATGCTATCTATGGTCTATGATCATTTATAAATTTATTTGGTTTCCATTTTATCATGAAACACTATCTGATTCATCTAATGACTGCTTATGCATATCCCTATATAAATGCCCTGAGGGCAAATGTTATGTCTTATTAAAGTTGTTTGTTTCATTATTTCCTAAAGTATTTATGACAGTATCTTAGATGTACAAATTGCTCAAATAATATATATTGGACTCAAGTGCAAAAGGCAAATTTTACTGTTTTCTATTTGTATAACTAAAAAGAACAAAAAAGTGATTTGAAGAATAGATACTTCACAATGATTATATGCCTATAATATTGTTTTAAATTCACATACCAAAGGGATTTTTATTCTAAATTACCATAGAACATATATTATAGGAATTATATGTTCAGCATAATCTCAATGGATTTTAAAATATATATGCATAAGAAAAAATGATGAGCTATACACCAAAATGTTATCAAAGGCTATCTTCAGATTATGGGATAATGGATACATTTATTTTCCTGTTTATATTTACTTTTCTAATTTATCTACAACAATCATATGTTTGCTAAAATAATTGGGAGGAAAAGAGTTATTTGAAAATATCTATGTAAGACCATGTGTTCTTTGGAAGCTCTTCCTGGGAACTAGAACCTTACAGATTCTCCTGCAGGCCTGGGGCTGCCCGGTTACTGTTGGTGGCTCTTCACTGGCCATTTGCTCAACCTGTAACTCATTTAGACTCCTAATCTGTTGAAACACCTTTCCTTGCCCTTTGAAATCTGCTGGCATGAATATGGCAGAATCATATTTCCTTGACTGTCTGAAAAGCTACGTAACAGCAGTGAAATTCATACCAGCTATTTACACCGTGATCAAGAAGTTGTTTAGAGTTGAAAGGCAAGTCAATTGGATTGTTAATAATTTTATACCAAGAGCAAAAATTACTTAACCCCAAGATTAAAATTAACAACAGAACATGGACTAAAATATGACTTCCCCAAGGAAATTTTTTACATTTTTTCAGTACTTCATGCAGTATCCGTATTTTTTTATCTATTTGCTTATTTCTCATAAATGAGCAACACAGTGTAAGAAAAACTACAAAATTCTCCAAATTGTATACATAAGCCAAATCAATTATTATTTCCTTGTACCTGAAAGAATATCATGAGAAATAAAGTAAAGAGAATAAATCTTGGGAAATAACTCCTAGAATATTACCTGAAAAGGCTGTTATAAATAAGCAGTTGGCCAGAATAAAACTATTTCAGAATTATGCAGCTAAGTAAAGTTTTTGTAGAGAAGTATTTCAGATTTAAGTCCCTATGAACCTAAAGGAAGTGTCCAACATTTCTGACAATCCTGATAATTGGTACACACATACTACAAACCAATTTTCACAAAGCACAGAGCACTTCATTCTCTGCAGGAGTATAATGGGATTTGAGAGCAAAACCCACCAGGCCTATTCCCTGACCTATATGCCAACTCTCGTGGTTAAACTGCTGCAACGTTTACACATTTATAATGAAATGGCTGTGTTATTTTCTTTTTTTTTTTTTTTTTTTTTTTTTTTTTTTTTTTTTTTCGCTATGTGGCCCTCTTTTTTTCACCACCCAAAGCAAATGCCTCCATCTCGCTAGAAGTCAATCGCGCAATCTCGCTCCTAAAACTCCGCCACTCCGGGTTCCGCCATTCTCTGCCTCAGCCTCCCGAGTAACTGGGACTACAGGCGCCCGCCACCTCGCCCGGCTAATTTTCTTGTATTTTTAGTAGAGACGGGGTTTCACCGTGTTAGCCAGGATGGTCTCGATCTCCTGACCTCATGATCCGCCCGTCCTGGCCTCCCAAAGTGCTGGGATTACAGGCTTGAGCCACCGCGCCCGGCTAGCTGTGTTATTTTCTTTCCAGAGCCCAGGTTCTAATTCTGAACTAATGAGTCATAAAATACATAGTCAGTATCTTGTTCATAATTTTAGTTTCTTGCTTTGATCATATCAATGTGACACTAAAGAAACCTTAACCGTATAAGCACACAAGGTAGATAATGCAATTCAGTGTTCTTACCAGACTGCTCCCCGCCTCCTTGCCTCTGATCCAAGTATTTGTTCTAAGAAGGTGGATGATTTCATTTACGGCCTTAGGCACATGGATCTGGGCGGGCTGCCAGTTTACAGCATGCTGGCTTCAGAGGCCACACAGCAAGTGCTCCAAGCTGGACCCATCATAGTATCCCGCATTCCTAACTCTGTAATTGGTAAATAGGGTGAGATTAGAGAAAGGCCAGTCAAGATTGTTATCTGAAGCTTTTCAAACAGGAGCTTGGATGAGGGCAGCATGCTGTAAGAGTCAGGAGGTGAAAGGCTTTTCCCTTCCAGATGGTGAATATACGCAGTTACAAGCTGCAACTGCTAGGAACCAGGTTCTCTGCCACATATAAGAACACAGTCTGGAAGTAGAAGACAAATTTAAATTTCAGGTTGCATAAGCAAATGATCAGAAAGTGTGGCTTAATTTTTTTCATGCAACTGAACTTAATTTCTTCAATGATATCCTGTTTTACAAGATGATAAACTCAACCTTAATGAATTAGGGCTCCTACTTCTTTTCCTTCAGTTCACATCTAATTTAAGCAAAGGGACATAGGACAGAAGGAAGGCAGACAGAACCAAGCAAGATTCTGATTCTTGGTCATTTGTTGAATTTAGCATCTCCCTCCTTATCCTGTCTGTTTTTCAGGGTTGATGCACATGGATCCATGCCAAAAGGTCACTTCAGGATGTGGATTCTCCTTCCTGGCCCTCAGTGCCTGCTGATGCATTGAAAAGTATTCCAGCACCACTCTGGGCTCTGGGCACCTTAGTGAAGGCCCAGCAACATGATATGCTAGGCTCAGGAATTAGTCTACTGCTCCTACATAAATTGCTGAGGTAAGTTGGAACTCCAGGAAGCTGCTTCAGATCTGAGGACCTTCATCTAGCGGCTATTCCTACATACCATGCTACCTGATAGGGTTTAGATTGGTATGTCCGCCCAAATCTCACGTCCAGTTGTAATCCCCAATGTTGGAGGTTGGGCCTGGAGGGAGGTGATTGGATCATGGGGGCAGTTTCTATTGAATGGTTTGGCACCATCCTTGGTGCTGTTCTTGTCAGTAGTGTGTGGGGAGGTGTTTGGGTCATGGGGCCAAATCTCTCGCAGCACTTTGCTGTCCTTAGTGTAATGGTGAGTTTTCACAACACCTACTGGTTTAAAAGTGTGCCAGCATCTCCCTCTTCTCTCTCTTGTTCCTGCTCCCACCATGTGAAACAGATTGTTCCTCATTTGCCTTCTGCCATGATTACAAACTTCCCGAGGCCTCCCCAGAAGCAGAAGTCACTATGCTTCCTGTACAGTCTGCAGAACCGTGAACCAATTTAACCTCTTTCTCTATAAATTACCTAGTCTCAGGTATTTTCTTCTACGGCAATGAAGGCAGACCCAATACACTAACCCGAGTTGCAGAGGAAAACTTTCTCTCACCCTAGCTCTATCTGGAATAAAGGCAGGTAGCTCTTTCTGCTCTGTGATTGTCTCAGCTGTTGTGATAGTTTTCTACAGATGGTGGCATTTTCCCACATTTGCTAGTATCTCAGGGACAGCTCTTCAAACTTAGTTCTGTCTTTTCTGAACAAAAATTATCCTGTTCATTCAACTACCTCTTACATGGCAGAATTGGAATGTGAAATTTTTTTGGGGTAGAATAAAGATCCTGCCTCAAAAGCGTTTCAAGTTAAATCAGTGCTTAGCATATATGCTCTTAAGAAAATATTTTGTAGATACACAGATAAAGTGAATAGGAGAGCAATGTGATTACAAAGACAATTGCCATTTTTAGAAAAAATACATATATGTGTGTGTGTGTGTGTGTGTGTGTATACATATATATGAACACTAGAAACAATGCTTTTCAGGATTTGGATGTGCACATAGGTACCTGGAATCCTGTTGAATGTAGATTCTGATTCAAGTCTGGATTGGGGTCTGAGACTCTTCATTTCTAACTGGATTCCAGGTTGTGCAGATGCTGCTGGTCCTGAGACATCTCAAGTCACACTGCTCTAAAATCATCTGACAATGGGACTCTTTAGGACATACTGAGTTGCCAGTCACTGGAAGTATTTAAGCCAGATGTTACTATTGTCAATGTGACAGAAAGAATGAATTATTAATAATAGAAACTAGATTGTACAGTACAGGGGACTTTCTATACTATCTTTGCCATTTTTCTTCAGATCTAAAACAATTCTAAAATAAGTGTCTTGTTTGTTTTGTTTTATGTGAGACAGAGTCTCACTCACCATTGCAGGGTTGGGTGCAGTGGGAATGTCTATTGCTCCTCCCAGAGGTTCAGTTCTCGGATATGAATTTCACAGAGTACTTCAAAGTTTTTGTTTCAATTATAGATTGGCTGTACTTGACATTATAAAGCAAATTCAATTTAAAACAATAAACACAAATGCCTGCTGTGTTGCCTAGTGATAGTATCATCTACTAGGTGCAGAGCCCCTTTCCCAGTGGTACTGAGAGGTGAAGCTGGCTGGGCTTCTGGGTTGGATGGGGACTTGGAGAACTTTTCTGTCTAGCTAAAGGATTGTAAATGTACCAATCAGTGCTCTGTGTCTAGCTAAAGGTTTGTAAACACACCAATCAACACTCTGTGTTCTTAAATGGGTAGGGGACTTGGAGAACTTTTGTGTCTAGCTAAAGTTATGCACGCACAATCAGTACTCTGTGTCTAGCCAAAGATTTGTAAATGCACCAATCAGCACTCTGTCAAAATGCACCAATCAGCAGGATATGGGTGGGAGCCAAATAAGGGAATAAAGGCCACCCAGAAGCGGCAGCAGCAACCATGGGAGTCCCCTTCCATGCATTGTTGGTTCGCTCTTTGCAGTAAATCTTGCTGCTGCTCATTCTCTGGAGTCTCGCTGCCTTTATGAGCTGTAACACACGCAAAAGTGTGCAGCTTCACTCCTGAAACCAGCAAGACCTAAACCCACTGGGAGGAATGAATAACCCCGTATGTGCCACAGCTGTGAACTGTAACACTCACCGCGAAGGTCTGCAGCTTCACTCCTGAGGCCCAGAGCGAGACCATGAACCCACCAGAGAGGCAGACAACTCCAGGCGTGCCACCTTTAAGAGCTGCCAACACTCACATTGAAGGTCTGCAGCTTCACTCCTGAAGTCAGTAGGACACGAACCCACCAGAAGGAAGCAACTCCAGACACATCTGAACATCTGAAGGAACAAACTCTGGACACACCACCTTTAAGAACTGTAACACTCACCACAGGGTCTGCAGCTTTAAATTTCTTGAAGTCAGCGAGACCAGAATCCCACCAATTCGGACACAGTACCAACTCAGCTGTCTTTTTTCCCTTTTAGCCTTCGTTTTCTTGCTAGCATTAGGATAGCTCTCTTAATCTTGAGCCTGAATTCAATCCTAGTCTGTGCTTTGAGATTCAAAACACAGTGCTCATAACATCTCCTTCTGTGGCAATCATATAAAAATGCCAATGAGTAGATGGAGTGTTACCAGGATAAATAAAAGAAAATACTGGTGGATCACATAAGTTAATCAAGTATTCCTCTTCAGAGGGCACAGTGTCATCCAGAAAGAAAAGTGGCAAAGCAATGCATGGCTTTTTTTTTTTTTTTTGAGACGGAGTCTTGCTCTGTGCCCCAGGCTGGAGTGCAGTGGCGCGATCTCGGCTCACTGTAAGCTCCGCCCCTCCGGGTTCACGCCATTCTCCTGCCTCAGCCTCCCGAGTAACTGGGACTACAGGCGCCCGCCACCTCGCCCGGCTAATTTTCTTGTATTTTTAGTAGAGACGGGGTTTCACCGTGTTAGCCAGGATGGTCTCGATTTCCTGACCTCGTGATCCGCCCGTCTCGGCCTCCCAAAGTGCTGGGATTACAGGCTTGAGCCACCGCGCCCGGCTAGCTGTGTTATTTTCTTTCCAGAGCCCAGGTTCTAATTCTGAACTAATGAGTCATAAAATACATAGTCAGTATCTTGTTCATAATTTTAGTTTCTTGCTTTGATCATATCAATGTGACATAAAGGAAACCTTAATAAGTATAGGCACACAAGGTAGATAATGCAATTCAGTGTTCTTACCAGACTACTCCCCGCCTCCCTTACCTCTGATCAAAGTATTTATTCCCTTTTGGCGGAGAAACTGTTCCTTCCCTGACACCAAGCACATGGATCTAGGCGGAGCTACCAGTTACAGCATGCTGGCTTCAGAGGCCACACAGCAAGTGCTCCAAGCTGGACCCATCATAGTATCCCGCATTCCTAACTCTGTAATTGGTAAATAGGGTGAGATTAGAGAAAGGCCAGTCAAGATTGTTATCTGAAGCTTTTCAAACAGGAGCTTGGATGAGGGCAGCATGCTGTAAGAGTCAAGGAGGTGAAGAGCTTTTTCCTTCCAGATGGTGAATATACGCAGTTGCAAGCTGCAACTGCTAGGAGCCAGGTTCTCTGCCACATATAAGAACACAGTCTGAAGTAGAAGACAAAATTTAAATTTCAGGTTGCATAAGCAAATGATCAGAAAGTGTGGCTTAATTTTTTTCATGCAACTGAACTTAATTTCTTCAATGATATCCTGTTTTACAAGATGATAGAAACTCAACCTTAATGAATTCGGGCTCCTACTTCTTTTCCTTCAGTTCACATCTAATTTTAAGCAAGGGACATGGGACAGAAGGAAGGCAGGGCCAGAATAAGCAAAGATTCTGATTCTTGGTCATTTGTTGAATTTGGCATCTCCCTCCTTATCCTGTCTGTTTTTCAAGGGTTGATGCACATGGATCCATGCCAAAGGTCACTTCAGGATCAATGATTCTCCTTCCTGGCCCTCAGTGCCCTGCTGAAGTGCATTGAAAAGTGTTCTCCAGCACCACTCTGGGCTCTGGGCACCTTGGTGAAGGCCCAGCAACATGACTATGCTAGGCTCAGGAATTAGTCTACTGCTCCTACACCGTGCTGAGGTAAGTTGGAACTCCAGGAAGCTGCTTCAGATCTGAGGACCTTCATCACAACGGCTATTCCTACATACTGCCCCATGCTACCTGATAGGGTTTAGATTGGTATGTCCGCCCAAATCTCACGTCCAGTTGTAATCCCCAATGTTGGAGGTTGGGCCTGGAGGGAGGTGATTGGATCATGGGGGCAGTTTCTATTGAATGGTTTGGCACCATCCCCTTGGTGCTGTTCTTGTGGTAGTGTGTGGGAGGTGTTTGGGTCATGGGGGCAAATCTCTCATGGCACTTTGCTGTCCTTGGTGTAATGAGTGAGTTTTCACAACACCTACTGGTTTAAAAGTGTGTAGCATCTCCCTCTTCTCTCTCTTGTTCCTGCTCCCACCATGTGAAACAGATTGTTCCTCATTTGCCTTCTGCCATGATTACAAACTTCCCGAGGCCTCCCCAGAAGCAGAAGTCACTATGCTTCCTGTACAGTCTGCAGAACCGTGAACCAATTTAACCTCTTTTCTCTATAAATTACCTAGTCTCAGGTATTTCTTTACGGCAATGAGAGAGCAGACTAATACACTAACCCGAGTTGCAGAGGGCTTTTCTCTCCACCCCTAGCTCTATCTGGAATAAAGACGAGTAGCTCTTTCTACTCTGTGATTGTCTCAGCTGTTGTGATAGTTTTCTACAGATGGTGGCATTTTCCCACATTTGCTAGTATCTCAGGGACAGCTCTTCAAACTTAGTTCTGTCTTTTCTGAACAAAAATTATCCTGTTCATTCAACTACCTCTTACATGGCAGAATTGGAATGTGAAATTTTTTAGGGTAGGAATAAGATCCTACTTTCAAAAACGTTTCAAGTTAAATCAGTGCTTAGCATATATGCTCTTAAGAAATGTTTTGTGAATACACAGATGAATTAATGAATGGGGCAATGTGATTGCAAGACCTTGGTTGCCATTTTTTGGGAAAAATACATATGTGTGTGTGTGTGTGTGTGTGTATACATATATATGAACACTAGAGCAATACTTTTCAAATTTGGATGTGCACATAAATTACCTGGAGATCCTGTTGAATGTAGATTCTGATTCAAGTCTGGATTGGGGTCTGAGACTCTTCATTTCTAACTGGATTCCAGGTTGTGCAGATGCTGCTGGTCCTAGAACCACATCTCAAGTCACACTGCTCTAAAATCATCTGACAATGGGACTCTTTAGGACATACTGGGTTGCCAGTCACTGGAAGTATTTAAGCAGATGTTACTATTTGTCAGAAATGTGACAGAAAGAATGTAAGATTGTTAATAATAGGGGAAACTGGGTGTACAGTACACGGGGACTTTCTATACTATCTTTGCCATTTTTCTTCAGATCTAAAACAATTCTAAAATAAGTGTCTTGTTTTGTTTTGTTTTATGTGAGACAGAGTCTCACTCTGTTACCCAGGGTTGGGTGCAGTGGGAATGTCTATTGCTCCTCCCCCAGAGGGTTCAGTTCTCGGATATGAATTTCACAGAGTACTTCAAAGTTTTTGTTTCAATTATAGATTGGCTGTACTTGACATTATAAAGCAAATTCAATTTAAAACAATAAACACAAATGCCTGCTGTGTTGCCTAGTGATAGTATCATCTACTAGGTGCAGAGCCCCTTTCCCAGTGGTACTGAGAGGTGAAGCTGGCTGGGCTTCTGGGTTGGATGGGGACTTGGAGAACTTTTCTGTCTAGCTAAAGGATTGTAAATGCACCAATCAGTGCTCTGTGTCTAGCTAAAGGTTTGTAAACACACCAATCAACACTCTGTGTTTAGCTAATCAGGTAGGGGACTTGGAGAACTTTTGTGTCTAGCTAAAGGATTGTAAACGCACCAATCAGTACTCTGTGTCTAGCCAAAGATTTGTAAATGCACCAATCAGCACTCTGTCAAAATGCACCAATCAGCAGGATATGGGTGGGGCCAAATAAGGGAATAAAAGGCCACCCAAGCCGGCAGCAGCAACCCGCTGGGGTCCCCTTCCATGCATTGTTGGTTCGCTCTTTGCAGTAAATCTTGCTGCTGCTCATTCTCTGGGTCTGCGCTGCCTTTATGAGCTGTAACACCGCAAAAGTGTGCAGCTTCACTCCTGAAGCCAGCAAGACCACAAACCCACTGGGAGGAATGAATAACCCCGTATGTGCCACCTTTATGAACTGTAACACTCACCGCGAAGGTCTGCAGCTTCACTCCTGAGGCCAGCGAGACCATGAACCCACCAGAAGGAACGAACAACTCCAGACGTGCCACCTTTAAGAGCTGTAACACTCACCGTGAAGGTCTGCAGCTTCACTCCTGAAGTCAGTGAGACCACGAACCCACCAGAAGGAAGCAACTCCAGACACATCTGAACATCTGAAGGAACAAACTCTGGACACACCACCTTTAAGAACTGTAACACTCACCACAAGGGTCTGCAGCTTCATTCTTGAAGTCAGCGAGACCAAGAATCCACCAATTCCGGACACAGTACCAACTCAGCTGTCTTTTTTTCCCTTTTAGCCTTCGTTTTCTTGCTAACGTGGGATAGCTCTCTTAATCTTGAGAGCCTGAATTCAATCCTAGTCTGTGCTTTTGAGATTCAAAACACAGTGTGCTGTAACATCTCCTTCTGTGGCAATGCATATAAAAATGCCAATGAGTAGATGAGTGTTACAGGATAAATAAAAGAAAGTACTGGTGGAATCACATAAGGTAATCAAAGTATTCCTCTTCAGAGGGCACAGTGTCCAGAAAGAAAAGTAGCAAAGGCCACATGAAGGAAGTGTGCTGCAGCAGCACCTAAGTCTTGGCCCTAGGTTCTGAGTCCCTTCTAAAGTGCCTGCTTCTGCCTTGTTAAAGCTCAGTTGATCAACTATTCATTTAATTCTGTGAGTTACCTAAGGATCTCTCTTTAATTCCCTCTTTTTACTTAAGCTAATTGTAGCTACATTTTTGCCACTTGCACCTTACAGAATCCCACCCAAAATAATAGCTTTGCCAAAAAGGAGAATTTTTATTTCCTGGAATCAGAAAAATTTCAACAGTCAAGCAACAGGAATAGGACACATGTAGATGGTCTTCGGAAACCCTAAAATCACCAGTAATCTTCTCCATCTCTTGTCTCTTCTTCTTCATATAAGTCAGTTTCATTTCCCGTTACTTCCACGTAGTGGAAAACATAGTGCTGACCATTCCCAGGTTTTCCACAGAGTAGTTTTCATCACCAGATAAAGGAAGAAATAAATCAGTTTCTATTATTTTGTTTAAGTAGTAGAAATGTAAAGAGAAAGAAAATTATTGAGTTCTCTAATTATTCCATGCCATGTGGACAACAGCTTGTGTTTGGATTGTAATGGTAAAGAAAATCTCCTCTTTATGACCAAGCTATCCAGCCCTTTTAAAACTCCCTTTTAAATGTATACAAAGGAAAAAATAAATTTGAAAATATTGCTCTGTGTTTTTCTTAAGCTAAATTCAGAAAACAGAAAGTAATAAGAATAAAAACAAAGCAAGTTTTTAAACAGATAAAAATTTTAAAAACAATCATGCGTTAATGCCTTTGCACTCAATATTAAATATAACATAACAAAGAAGGATCTCATAATCCTAACACAGAAGAATTTTAAAGTCAAGGAGACTAAACTGTGATAACATATGCCCTGTTTCTTGTACATTGTCCAAGCATAAGATACTGTAAAAATTTTCTTTCAGTTCTAAATTTGATGTACTTGACATTATAAAACACATTCAATTGAAAACATCAATAAACAAAAATGCCCACAGAATGAAGGACAAAAAAGGTATGATCATCATAAGAGATGCAGAAAAGGGCTTGACAGAATTAAACATCCTTTCACAATGAAAACGCTCAACAAATTCAGAGTAGAAAGAATGTTCCTCAACACAATAAAGGCCATACACAGCAAACCCATAGCTAATGTCACAATCAATTGTGAAAGTTGAAGGCTTTTCTCTAAGATCAGAAACAGGGCAAGGATATCCACTCTCACCACTCCTATGCAACATAGTACGGGAAGTCCTAGTCGGAGCAATTAGGCAAGAGAAAGAAGTAAAAGGCATCCAAATTGGAAAGAAGTAAAATTATCTCTTTTTGCTGATGACATGATCTTATAGATGGAAAATCCTAAAGACTTCACCAAAAAAATTAATAAAACTCATAAACTAACTCAGTAAAGTTGCAGGATGCAAAATTAACCTACAAAAATCAGTAGCATTCCTATAGACAAACCATAAACTAACTGAAAAAGAAACTAGGAAAACAATCCCATTTACATTAGTATCAAAAATAAAATAAAATAAAATACTTAGGAGTAATTTAACCAAGGAAGTGGAAGATCTGTATACCAAAAACTATAAAACATTGATGAAATAAATTGAAAATTATACAAATAAATGGAAAGATATTGTGTGTTCATGGAGTGGAATAATTTATATTTTGTAAACATTCATATTACCCAAAGCAATCTACAGAGTCATTGCAATCCCTACAAAAATTCTAATGTCATTCTTCACAGAAACTTTTAAAAATTCTAAAATTTGTATGAAGTCACAAAGACCCCAAATAGCCAAAGCAATCTTGACCAGAAAGAACAAAGTCAAAGCCAGAGGCATCACACTACCAGATTTCAAAATATATTACAAAATTACAGTAATCAAAACAACATGGTACTGGAATACAAACAGACACATAGACCAACAGAATGGGACAGAGAACTCAGGAATAAACCTATACATCTACAATCAGTTGATTTTTGACAAAGATACTGAGCACACACAATGGGGAAAGGACATCTCTTCAATAAATCATACTGTGAAAACTGGATATCCACATGAAGAAGAATCAAAATGGACCATTACCTTATCCCTTATAGAAGAATCAACTCAAAATGGATTAAAGACTTAAACATAGGACCTGAACCTCTAAAACTACTAGAAGAAAACCTAGGGGAAAGTTTCACAACATTGATCTGGGGAATGATTTCTTGGCTATGATCCCAAAAACACAGGCAATAAAAGCAAAAATAGATAGATGGGATTGCATCAAACTGAAAAGCTCTGCACAACAAAAGAAAATCTCAACAGAGTAAAGAAACAACCCACAAACTGGGGAAAAGTATTTGTAAATCATACATTAGATAAGAGGCTAATATCTAAAATATACAAGAAACTCAAACTACTCAATAACAAGAAAACAAATAACCCAGTGAAAAAACTGGCAAAGAATTTCAATAGACATTTCTCAGGAGAAGACATACAATGGCCAACACATACATTTACTAAAATGCTCAACATTTCTAATTATCAGAGAAATGCATATTAAAACTACAATGGGATATCACCTCACAACTGTTAGATCGGCTATTATCAAAAATATGAAAGATAAGTATTAGCAAGTATGTGGAGAAGGAACTCTTATACACTGTTGGTGGTACTACAATTAAGTGCAGCTATTTTGAAAAACAGTATGAAGTTTTAAAAAATAAAAATAGATTTACCATATGATCTAGCAATTTTACTTCTGGGTATATGCAAAAGAATTGAAATCATATGTTAAAGAGATGTCTGCACTCCCATGCTCATTGCAGCATTATTCACAGTAGCCAAGATATGGAAACAACTTAAGTGTTCATCAACAAATGAATGGATTTTTTTCAATGTTGTGTATATGTATGTGTGTGTGTGTATATATATATGTTATATAGATATTTGTATATGTACACTCACACAATAGACTACTATTCAGCGTTAAAAAAAAAATCTGTCATTTGGGACAATATGAATGAACCTAGAGGGCATTACGTTAAGTGAAATAAGCAGTCGGGCATGGTGGCTCACACCTGTAATCCCAGCATTTTGGGAGGCTGAGGCGGACAGATCACTTGATGTTAGGAGATCGAGACTAGCCTGGCCAAGCTGGTGAAATCCCATCTCTACTAAAAATACAAAAATTAACCAGGCGTAGTGGCAGGCGCCTGTAATCCCAGCTATTTGGGAGGCTGAAGCAGGAGCATTGCTTGAACCCAGGAGGCAGAGGTTGCAGTGAGCCGAGATTGCGCCACTGCACTCCAGCCTGGGCGATAGAGCAAGACTCAGTCTCAAAAAAAAAAAAAAAAAGAAAAAAAAGAAATAAGCCAGGCATGGCTTGACAAATACCCTACTTTTATGTGGAATTTTAAAAAGTTAAACTCATAGAAAGAGAGAGTAAAAAGGTGGTTACCAAAGGCTGGCAGTGGGTGAGAGTGTGGACAGGGAAAGGAGAGATGTTCAACTGATACGAAGTGCCAGTTAGGAATAAGTTCTGGTGTTCTATTGGACAGCATACTGACTGTAATAATAATATATTGTATATTTCAAAATCTCTAAGAGAGGATTTTAAGTGTTCTCACCACAAAGAAATGATAAATATTTGAAAAGATTGATAATGCTAATTAGCCTGATTTGATCATTCCATAGAGCATATATGTGTCAGAACATCATATTGTACCCCATAAATTTATACAATTCCTATTTGTCAATTAAAAATAAACTAGAATTTGGAGGCAAAACACACACACACACACACACACACACACACGTACCCAGTCTGTGTTGCTTAATGAGCTTTTGTAATCATTTATAAGAAAAAAAGACTTAGACTAGTATAAATGTTAACAGTTCTGGATCTGAGAACATGGAAGTTCTAAGTCACAGTCACACTACATCCATACTTCATTGAAGAGTCCT